CCAAGGCACGAGACTCTGGGACAGGCTGGGGAATTAGAAAGAAAACAGCAGCTGCATGGTCAGGAGCATTTGGGGGGGGGGGGGGAGACCCCTCCTCACCTGGAGTTTCGCGACCTAGCTTGCACGTTTCCCAGTAGCGATGCAGAGGCTCGCCGGGATACGCAAACTCCACACAGGCACTTGCGTCCCGAAATCTCTCTCCTCGGTAGTTTCATAATCTGGAGAGGAGGAGGAGGAGCGAGCGAGCGTGCGAGCGAGTTAGCGAAAACGAAAACAGTGAAGCGGTTTACGCGGGAAACCCGTTTGGGTTCCGGCCAGGCCTAGAAACGGAGCGATGGGCCTCGTTCACCAAGGTTCCCATTCGCCGATAGGGGGCGCCGCAAGGAACGGGTCCAAGAAAGGCGAAGGGGAAAAATTTATGGAGATTCTCAGTCGTTCTGGTCATGGGTGTCCCAAAGCTGCTTTTTTTCAAGAGGCAACTGGACTTTCTTTGTTTTTGCTGGAAGAAGCTTCTTGGATGATGAGCGAATGTCTTCCAGGAAAAACGTACGTCCAGTTGCCTCTTGAAAAAGCAGGTAGGGGAAATGCCAGGAGACATGCCTTGAACTCTCCACAGAGGGTGGGAAGAGGGGGTGCCTTGGAGTGGAGTTCAAACCACAGACCAAACAATTGAAAGAGAAGAAAAAGAGGTCCTTTCAATCTTTCTCATGGAAAGAAAAAAAACAATTTGCCCATTCCCTAAGTCAGTTAGGGATACAGACGTATTGCAGCAATTCTCTCACCCTTAGGTTGCAGGGAGGGGGCGCCTCTGATGACGTACTTAACCACCGGTGGTTAATTTAACTGTGATTTAAATGACACTCTAGCCGAACTACCCACACAAACTTACTTTACAAGGTTGCTAGGTTAAAAATGTGGTTGGCTAGTCTGTGGCAGTTTAGAAGCCTTAGTAAAAGGCATTGTAGAAAATGCAATCATGGAAAGGAAAGGATTTTCCTAAGGAGAAAACCAGTTTTTTATATAATGTAGTTCTGAGATAGTTGTAGACTTATCTTAGAACCTACCGTAGTAAATAAAATAAAAATCCAGCAATTATGTGAGTTGAGACAAGTGTGAATTTTTAGGCGAGTTTTATCCTGTAAAAGGATCTACATACAGCGAAGAACAAAGGAAAGAAGAAAAGCCAATGTTGGCAAGAAGGTGAGAAAACATTTGCATTGCAATCTACAATGTAAGCAAGGAGGTGAGAAAACACTTGCATTACAATCTACTTTAGTATTACAGAAGATGTTATATGCTGTACAAAATGTCCAAACATAATTTTTGATATAGTCCAGTAAGAACTACTTGTTTTTTTTTCTTGATACAAAGATACATTTTCCCATTTACTACACAATTGAGTTTTTATAACCTCCCGCATCAGAGCTGTGCTATGAGAATCTTCATTTCTGTCCAATTTCTTTTAGAAAAGAAAAACTCCCTTACCTAAAACAATATATTTTAAAGACAAAAAGAATTCCAAAATAGCACTTAAAGCCAGTAAGAATGGAACTGATTTTAATGGTACAGGACCAAAATTAATTCATTGTTTCTCCAAATATTTATATATTTTAATATATTTTTAAAAAAATGCCTTCAGTTTCTTACTAAATATACTATGTGTAAATACTATAGCCTTTAAATTGTAGAAAAAAAACTTTAAAGAACAAATGCTACTACTATAATTGCATTTAAGAGTATGGATTCAATTTACCAGAAAATAGTTTACTTATGTGCTAGAAAATATATCCCAAATCTGAGATCACAGTTAAGTCTTTAGGAGTATAAGATCTAATTTCCAGTACCTAAATTATTTTTACCAATAGGATAATATGGATAGCTACTCACCTATTTAGCAATAGCATTTAGACTTATATACCCCTTCATAGTCCTTTACAGCCCTCTCTAAGCGGTCTACAATGTCAGCACATTGTCCCCCAACAGTCTGGGTCCTCATTTTACCAATCTCAGAAGGATGGAAGGCTGAGTCAACCTTAGTTAAAATAATTTGTGATTTGTGTGAATGCAGACAATTGGGTTACTTTAACAAATAATTAGTCAGTTAATCATGAATTAGTATATTGTGCAAATTCATTTACACATCCTACTAAGCTATAGCATGGGTTATTTGGTTTTGGTTTAATATGTTGAATGAACCCAGTCAGTGTGATTGGTAAACTATGGCTGATAGACTAATCCTATGGGTTTAGACAAACCATGGTTAATAAATGCATATTGATGCATGTAACTTTTAGGCTCAAAAATTTGGAACCAGAGTACAAGGGAAAGATGAAATGCAAAAAAATTGAGAAGGCATTTGTTAGGGATGTTATAAAATACAACAGATGACTAGACTTACTTGCCAACAGATACACCACAATGTTTCAACCAAGTTAAGAAGAAATTTGTCTTTTTTTACATTTGTTGTATTGTACAGTCTAAAGAGAATAGACTATATCCATGGGTCCTTTCTCAAGGCCTTAAATTCTTGCAGATAATTAAAATAAATTCAGCACCCACTTCTAAAAAATTAATATACAGATATGATCAAGAACAAGAAAAGAATTTGAAAACTGTGTAAAAATAGCTCATTTTATTTGCATCTATTGTCTTCAATTTGTTAGATATCAGTGATACACAAATTACATATAACTAATCTAGGAATATTAATGGGTGGAAAATATGAACTTATCTCTATATAAAGAAGCGGGTTCTTAGATATTTTAGCTGCATGTGGGGGAAATGAAAACTTGACAGGATGTTAACAATGTCCCTAGCTCAGTGGTATAACCTGTTTGGTCTCCAATTCAATCTTTGGCAAGTTATTAACAGAAGGAGGGGGCTGGGGGGGGGGTGAGATCTCTGCCAAGGACTCTACGAATCATTACAGTTGAACAATTGTAGATCAGATGGAGCTTTTCCTATGTGTCTTTAACAGTTTAAAAAATGGTCTGAGAAATAATGTTTGTACTGATCGGAGATAACTCTTTATTTTGCATATTTTTAATTGAAACCAAGGAAGAAAACTTTGTTTTATGTATATTCTGTCTACTTTTTCTTCTGTTCCAAGTTGGAGAGAGAAAAAATGCAGGTTTAATCTTACCTTATATCATTTTAATCAAATGTCTTTCTTTAAAAGTGGTGTGCAATTCCTTAAAATTCTATATAAAAGGTAAGCAAGTAAAGCAGGGTATAAGAGTTCTATTCAAAAGCCACATTTTTGTATAATTCTTTTTATAGCACGCTAAAAGGTTATAGAGTTGGAAAAGACACTGTTTTTCCTCAAGAAATAAAAGTTTGTTTGTAACTGCTTCAAATGAGTTTCATAAAGGAAAGTTTGTTCCTGCCAATTTGGGGATCA